TCCACTGAGCCAAACCGGCTAGGGTACTTATCATGACTTTATGCAGTACTCTTGATTTTTCTAAAATATTGAATTAAAATATTATTTTTCCAGCTTATTGAGGTGTAATTGACAAAATTGTAACACACTTACGGAGGCCGCCATGAGGATTTGATGTATGGATACCCCGTGAAAGATTCCACCTCCGAGTTAATGACCATGTCCATCACCTGGCATATGTCCCTTTTTCTGTGTGAGAACCTGAGTTCCACCGCCTGCCACATTTCAGTTATACAACAGTGCTATCAACTGTAACCATCGTGTTCCACTTGGATCTTCAGACCTTATTCATCTTAGAGCTGGAAGTCCGGACCTTTCACCCAGCCCTCTGTGTGTCCCCCACCCCCAGCCCCTGGCAACCACCGTTCTACTCTCAGTCTCTGAGTTTGAGTTGTTTTTCCAGATTCCACATATAAGTGATCCTGTGTGGTATTTGTCTTGATTAATGAGTTTGTTGGTGCCCCTTACACAGGGCTGGGCAAGAGTAGGTTTATGGTTGTTCATATGGAAAAAGACATGCATCATATTATTACAATAGATCTTACTTATTTATTGGTTTCGCTGAGACATGGTCTTACCGATGTGAGAACGGCTCCCGAGGCAGCATGGGAATCTCAGATGTGCCTCCATAGCCGCTCCAAGCTCAAGGTTGGGGAGAAATGGATCCGAAGTCAGTTATCTACCCAAGGCTGGCGTGGCCCGTTCCTCGGGTGGAGTATCTTATGTAAGGGATTGTCCCTGATTTTGCAACTTGGTTGAAAAGAGTCACCCAGCCAAATTATGTGCTGAGTCACACACCTCTCACCACACCGATCCGTGCGGACCCTGTGGGTGGTCTACTTGGCGTGGGCTCCCCAGGCTCAGGCAGGTGTGAAGGGACAGCGTGCCACCTCCTGCCCACGCTGCGCTGTGGGCCTCCACCCCTCACCTCCTGCCTTGCGGCTTCCTGCTTGTCCCCGGGCAGATGCTGAGTTTGAGATGCTGCCCAGGGTAGCAGCGTCGGGAGCGGATGCTGTGGCGCATGTCTGGGACCAGGAGAGGCAGGGGCGGGTGATAACTCACTGCCTTCCTCCCCGGGGTCGGTCCTCAGGCACAGATTACCCCACGCTGAGGGGCACAAGATCAGCGTGGCATGCACCTGGCAGTGCCATCTAGATGAGGAGCCTTCCATCGCCTCTCTCTTCCCCCTTCCCACCCTCCCTCCCTCCTTCCTGGCGTCCCCTCTCCCGTGTGGAGCACCAATGGCATCTGTCTCAGGCTCTGCCTTCTGGGATGCGAAAGGAAGACATAGTCTTTGTTATTTCCTGTAGCTCTTGCTGCAACGGACTGTCAGGCAAAAAGACTCCCCAGATGACACCTTTTAATACCATTCCCACCTTTTTCTAGACCCTTGGCACCTAGATGATCAGGAGGAGCGATCAGATACGCACTCTCTGTTTGGGCTCCTTTAACTGGGGGTTTATGAAATTCTGAAACCCTATCAGGTTATTAGTGAGCATCACGAGGAAGGACGGGGATGTGAGCTGCTGGGCGAGGGTCTGAGAGATCTCCTCTCCGCTGTGGTTCGGCCTCGGTCCCTCAGGCTTCCTCGCTGTCACTCAGCAGACCCATAGCCTGGGCCAGAGACGAGGGTGACTGTGAGGCTGGGATTTTAATTTCTTGTGTCACGTCCTTAGATGGCCATTTACCGTTTCCTAGTAGGGAAGTGGGGACAATAGAAAAAGAGGAAAATGCTTGGAGGAAAATGTCTGTGTTCTAACGAGCCGAGGAGTTTTCTTATTTGTGATCCTGAGGTAAACGGAGTGGCATTCACTTCCTCACACAAGACCCTTGTCCCTTAAAGAGGCCCTGGGAATGGGGACAGGGACGCTGTCCTGAGATGTTGGGAGAGCGAGGGCCAGTGTGACCCAGGAGGATGGCACAGGGCTGGCTTGAGCAGCGGGGACTCTGGTTTCAGAGTCCGAAGAAGGCAGGGCCTGCTATTCTTAGACCCTTTGGCAAGTCTGGGAGAGGTGCTGGGTCTGGGGTGAGACAAGGTGTCGCAGAGGGTCCCGGATGGAATTGCTTTATGAAAGTGAAGTCGCTAGGGTCGGGGTGGGGCTGGAGTTGACCAGGAGAGGACCTGAATGAGAACATCTGTGTCAAGTGCCACGACAAGGGGCAGACGACAAGGAAGGTGGCGAGAGTCTTCTGGAAGCAGAATTATGAGGAGACTCCTGCCTCCGGTTCTGCTGTGTTGAAATCAGGACTGATTTTTCACCTTCACCTGCTCCCCCAACCACAGCCGTTCTCAGAGGCCCTGGCAATGGGCTCTCTAGATCAGGCTGAAACATGGAGGCAAATCTGCTGATAAAAAGGCGTTGAATGCCACATGCAGCAAGCTCTCCTACACGTGTGCCTGGCTCTCTAGGTCATTTGGACAGCATGTGCCACACACTCACGTTAACCTGGTGATGGCGACCGCATGTTTGGTCAGAGGGAAGCTCCCTGCCTTCTGCATGCCCTAACATACTACGTTGGATTGGTGTGTAAACTGGATGACGGTGGTGGTGGTCAGGATATCACTGCATCACTTCTGAAGTTCCTAGAAAAGAGCCCGACAGCTAGAATCTCACACTGGGGTTTGCCCCGAAGACAGCCCATCACGCCCCTCCCCTTTAACATGCCATCTTAGTTATTAGTCCAATTAGAATAGTGATAGTCTTGAGGTGTGGCTACTTCTGGTCAGCAAGCAACACAGGTGCTCAGGATGCTGAGCTCATGATTGGTGCTAATGGATGAAGGAGAAGATGTCTTCTCTCACTTGGCCAGGAGAGTGAGTGGGGAGAACAGGCAGCCTCCTCCCTCAGGGCACTAACTTCTCTCACTTCATGAAAAAGGACCTTTTTCTACTGGACATTTGGGGAATGACATCCCATCTACCCATTTCATCCATCAATTCATTCCATCCATCCATCCATCCATCCATCCATCCATCCGTCCATCCATCCATCCATCTATCCGTCCATCCATCCACCCATCTATCTATCTGTCCCTCCCTCTGTCCATCCATCTATCCATCCATCCATCCATCCATCCATCCATCCATCCATCCATTTCAGCATAGACTAGCTATAGGTTCCCATATTATTTAAATTTAATAAAAGATCTCACAGTCATTCTATAATTGATCCCTGTTCTGTCAGGTGGACTCTGCTTCTTTCTATAAGTCAGATGCCTCAAACTCTCTATGGGTGCTAATGAAGTCAAATTGACCTTCACAGGGGACTCTCCCTGCCCCGTTACTTCCACCTGCTGAGGGAGGCGCCAGGGAGAGACTGGAGGTGCTCAGGTTTAAAGGGGGGACTTTGGAGCCAGCCTCTCGGGGTCGGAGTTATGTTTGCCATTTCCCAGCTGCATGACCTTGATCACATCCTCTCTGTGCCGTTAGGATGCAATCTGTAAAGTGAGGCTGATGAGGACAAGGATGGTGTGCACCTTGTCAGGGATGTTGTCAGAATCCAAGAGTCCATGATGCCCAGGAGCCTTGGGGGGTGCCTGGCCATGGCATGTGTGAGCTGTGGCCAGCCCAACGCCAGCCTGACTTTCACTCTCCTCATTTACCGGGGAATTTCAGCCTCCTCACCTGGTGATAACAATTATGGGAGATGACCACTAAGAGCCCAGCAACAGAAAAGCTCTTGGACAATTACCTCACTGCTCTCAGCCTTGTCTTAAAAACGCCACTAGGTCTCACAGAATTCTGAAAAAAGGTGCTTTCAATGACTAGTTCTTTTTTGTCAGGATCATTTTCTGAGCCGAGACACCATCTCCTTATGACATGTATCAGCTGCATTTTGCCTCCATCAGACGAGACCTGACACAAAACCCTGTCTTAGGAATCCTGGAAAAAGGACTCCTTTTTGTCCCCCGCATGCACATCATTTGGTTTCTAAAAGGTGATCTTTTATGAAATGAAGTATTCATGACATTTGAAAGGTGTCAATGCCTAAGGTAGTTGAAGACAGTGGGGTTGAGTGTGCGCCTGTTTTGCACTTGTAAGCCATTTAATTTGACTTTATTCAGCTCTAGAACACTATCTTTTTATTTCGTGGAATTTGATTTGTTTTAATGAGCCATCGATGCATAATGCAGGGACGGGGAGGGTCTGAACACCGAGACGGCTGCTGGGCCTCCACAATGGTGATGAGATTTCCATCCAGTGCAGTGAACTTACCCCCCTCCTCTGTGTGTGAAAGGGGAGCCATCAGAATAAACACAGGCAAGAAGAAAGGGGCATTTTTACTTGCAAATCTATCTTTCAGAAATGTGTGATTTGGTTTAAATGAAGAGGCTGAACATTACAGGTTTAGATAATGATGCCACGATATGGGGACCTCAGTGGAGTGTGTTGAAGAACAAATGATGTTTGGCTAAGACCTGCAAACTTCTCCCTCCATAGGAACATAGGAAAGACCCAGCATTCTGAACATGCAACATGTTCTAAAATATGAAGAAGGGACCCACATTTATGTAAACTTTCCAACTTGTCACCTTTCCTTCCACTTCCTGCCAGAGAGAGGTGGTTTCCCCCTCTCAGAATGAGACAGGGCACCCCCTGACCTGGGTGGGCATTTGCACTTCACATTGACTGGTGTGGGGTGTGCGTGTGCGTGTGGTAGGCGTGGTAATAAACAGGAGACTTGACTTTGCCTCTCTTGGGTTATCATCTACAAAGGCAATATGCATACACAGGATGGTTAACTTCATTAACACGACTCTTTATTATTCACCCTATTTATTCACACTAATCAGAACTCCAAAGCAACATTTTCTCACTTAAGGTTGACTAAGGACCCGGGAATTTCTCATGACAACATGGAATACTAATGGAAACTGATTAACTGATTATTATTTTCTTGATATTATTTTTAGGCTGAAATCTTGGACCAAAATATAACTTTTGAGGGCACCTTCATCCCTTAGCAGGAGTCACCCGTATGGTTTTCTCCCAGCCCAGTGCTCTGCCTCTCCTTCCAAGGTCCCACGCAGATAGTTATGTAACAGTGACAACTCCCGCACCACACCGAACCTCTGGGCAAGGAAGGCCAGTCTCCAGTCTCGACTGCAACCTTAGACAAGTCAGTCTCCCTGCCTGGCTTCATTGTTTTTCACCTAAAAGTTAGAGACTTTACATCTCTTCAATCCTTTTCAACTTAAAGCATATTTTCTGATAATTACCAGAAACTTTGATTGACAAAATACTTCGCTCTCCAGGGCCTACAGTTCTGACCATCATGTTATTTAAAAAGCAGTAGCTAAATAAGCTTTGAGGAAGCAGGCTTATGTGTTTACCTGTGTATTCCACTCAGCTCCCCGACCTCACCCCCAGACCATCTTGCTCAAAGATGCAAATCCAACCACGAAATATTCATACTTCTGGTCAACCTGGTAAAATAAAAATGCACGAGGGGAGGCATAATCGATGATAGAAAAGTAACTCAACAATAGGGGAACATGTGACTATCAACCTGATATATTGGTTGACTAAAATTTATTTAAATAAGAAATTGGACACTGTGATTGGAATGAGAATATAGCAGTGTAATGGCCACCATTGATGAAGGTGACAGCGCCGATCTTCTCACAGTTGGCACAAACACTTGGCTGTTTCCCTCATATTTTCAATGAGGTTATGCTCCATCAGCACCAGTCTCTCATCTGCTGTCCCTTGATATGAACAAGGGAAGCATCCTGTGCCACTTCAGTAGATCCTTTCTTAGGTCGATCCTTTCCTGGTCTCAGGAGCGCCTTGCTTTAACCACCTGAGCCAAAGTAATATAAGACTTGATATAATGAAAGAGATACTTGAAATGATAAGAGAGACAACACAATTCTGAATATATTTGATAACAATTTCTTTCCTTTATACTTTAGAGACAAGGTGCTGGAGCAACCAATGGAAAAGACAAGACGTCTGGCGAAAACGGTAAGACGACACGAGGAGCCCCGCTACCTGCTGTTTTTCCACTTGCAGCTCAGGGCCCACGGCAGGCGTGGATCCTGCCTCCCACAGAAATCAGCTTACTCTGCATGTCTGTGCTTCGGTGTAGAGAGGATTTTAGCAATTCTCAGTAGCACCACGGTCTGCTTTTACAGAGGAAGCCGAGCTAGCTAAATGCGGTGGTAAGAAGTTCCCCCCCAAAAGAGGACTCCCATTTTGGGCAACAGGATAATTACAACGCAAATATAGGTCTCTGTTTTCTTCATTAGGGTTGGTGAGAACCATCCCAGTTGTTGTGAGGACAAAATAAGATCAAATGAGATAAGTGCTTTGAAAACTGTGAAGTGCTTGACTCCTTAAAGGATGTTTTCAAATCTGCATAGTGCTGGCCCCAGGGGAGGGGTAAAGATCTGTGTGTGTCACTGTGGTCGTACACACAAACTGAAAGGGTGTAGTAGAGACCGGATTATTTGTGTCCTGGGACGCCAGCCTCCACGTGGGCCTTAAATTGTAGGAATGATCATATTTTATGGATGGGGAACTAAGGCTTGGTGTGAAAGAGCTGGGATGTGACCAGGAAGGGGAAGAACATGGCCTTTGAAGGCAACAGTCAATAACAACCCAGCAAAGACTGGGGTAAAGACGTCTGGAAGTGAACTAAAGACATTTTTCTAAAAATCTAAGTTGCTTAATTTCTTATTCTTAAACTCATAATATGAGAAGATCATCTTGGAATTTCTGAGTCAACCTAATATTACATTCCATCAAAAATCAGATTATTTTACTGTGTTATCACAGGTATCTAGAGAGCTCTTTTATCTTAATGTATATTTTCTACTAATACAAATGAAGCTGCCCACCTGTGTTGAAGGAGCAGGCACCCAGGAGAATAGATCTATGAAGCACAGAGCATTAAACTGTGATGAGATTTGGATAGCAGTCAGATGATCGTAAGTAGTCAATTAGTCCCGGATTTCATTAGTCATCGACAAGGCAAAGTGTTCTTATTTCAAATATTAGACATGTAGTTTAGGTCTCCATTTAACACTTAAAGCATGAGGACGATGGAGCGCGTTAGGAGTGCCCTGGAATTGTAATTTGGGTCGCAGAAGACACACGTCAGATCCATTACAACCCCGGAGGGATCTCCTGGGCTCTGCTGGCATTTTGTTATATTAAATATCATCTCAAGAGGGCCATTGGCTGGGAATTTAGACTCTTGTTTTTGTTGCCATGGTATTTATTGATGTGAAATATGACGTTTATCCACCCCGTTCCCAGAATGCCTTTTCTCTTTCCAACCTCTGAATACACGGTCCAGCAGCTCAGGTGTTCTCCTCTCCTCTGTGGCTTGGAGATAGGTTTTTTAGAAATACAGGGTGTCCACACTTTGAATAATTATTCATTCCAATGGGTTCACTCTGTAAAGAAAGAAACATCCATTGAGCTATCAGCTGTTAAGTGTGTATACACTTTTTGGGGACACCCTATATAGGGTTATTATTTTTTAATTAAAAAATAAATTCATTAGGATCTTGGTGGCTCAGAGATTTTCATTCCCCTATGAACAAAGCACCTTCATTATCTGATTAGGCCAGGAATTTCATTTTTTTTCTTGACATAATGCCCTACTTGAGCGAAACAATAGTTCCCAGTTCCGGCTGCAGCTCCTCCCCTGGTAAAGTCCAATGTGCCCGTAGGTACAGACACAACCTTCTGAATCTTGACTCTGCATTGCCCATGTTCAGTTCGGAGATGGTCAAAAGGTTTTTTTCGCACCACAACTATTTTGCTGGATATCTTGATCCGTATCTTGAAACTTGGGCATCCAGAGAGACTCCAAGAGTTAAATTTTTTATGGACACAGAGAATAGAAAAACACAGGAGGGAAGTGGCTGCTGGGAGGATTCCAATCCCCGGGAAAGATTTATGAATAATAAGCCTCCGACGGGCTCGCTTTCAGGGCTGGGAGGCTTAGCCGAGCGAAATTGAATTTCTAAATCGGGAATGGATTTCTCCTGACGTGGTGAGCGGTGATACATTTGTTTCCAAAAGCCTCTGTCTTCGGAGGTGAACGGCAGAGCTGCACCTGATTTTAGTAAAAGAATCCCCTCCGGTCCCAGCTGCTGGCCAATGCCCAGAGGCTGTTGCTATTCTGAGCTAAAGGTGGGGCGTAGGGCAGTGGCAGTTCCTTTGAGGTGCGAGCTGCTGATCAAAACCTCAGGCATTGGATTGGATTAGGGGCGCCCATGTTTCTGGGACACAGATTTTGTCTTGAGAAATTTCTAGCAGGTGTGGGGAGCTGCTAGGAGCACATAGATTTAGTTTGCTTTGATAGAATGACATGATGGCTAACAATGAATAACCTGAAATGCTGTTTTGAATAAAACCAAAGCCATAGCAGTTTATCTCAGCTTTAGATTTGAGGGTGCAACACACACACACACACAGACACATATTGTAAATGTATTTTTCTGCTGTCAAGTAGGTGGAGAGATTGATTGAGAAGGACCTGATTCATAGACAGATAGATAATTATTATTAATCTGAGCATGGTTTTTCCAATAAGAAATAAAACTCAATATTCCCCAAGCACTGTACTCACACCCTCCTTGGCTCCAGATCAGCCAGTAGATGCTAAAAATCTCCCCTTTGGCATCCTTGGTGCCTGATGGACCGGCCTATCAGTACCTATGACCCCACGTGGGCAGATGCTGCCTGGGCCCATTTGCTCGCTCACTGCTCTGTGGTTTGGGGAAGTGCGTGGGTGAGGTTTCATGTGGGAGGTGAGAGATCAGCGTGGCGCAAGGAGGAACCCACGGTGGTGGTGACTGAGTGCTCGCTGCCAGGCCCGAGAGAGAAGGTTGCTTCCGGCAGGGCTGGGCCTGGCTGTCCTACTTCTGAGCCCGGAAGGTTGGGGTGGACGGCGAGAGGAGGAAGTGCAATTTCTACAGAGGCTACAGCGGGCTCGTGCCATGGATCTGTCTAAAGCGGTGACGTGACTTGGTCCTGCTTCAGGTAGGGACGGTGGCAGAGAGGAGCCCACAGCCTGCAACAGAGTCTCGGCTTTTCTAGGCTGCGTGTGCAGGGGTTTGTGAAGCTCTCGTCCTCAAGGATGGCCTAAGGTGCCAGTTCTGTGTGAGTTGCACTGGGAGTTTAGGTGGGAGCTCCCTGCTCTGAGCTGAGCCTCTTAGAAAAGGGAAAAGGCAACTGGCAATGTTGAGAGGCAGCATGTACCAGACACGTGCAGTTTAAAATCTTCACGGACTGGCCTGGCTGGCGTAGCTCAGTGGTTGAGCGTTGACCTATGAATGAGGAGGTCAGGGTTCGATCCCTGGTCGGTGCCTCTGCCCAGGTTGTGGGCTTGATTCCCAGCGTTGGGGCATGCAGGAGGTGGCTGATCAATGATTTTCATCTTTGATATTTCTGTCTCTCTCTCCCTCTCCCTTCTTCTCTGAAATCAATACAAATATATTTAAAAGATAAATAAAATCTTCACGACTGCGTCTGGCTGTGGGAACGGCCTCCCTGAAGGATGGATCTTTAAGGCCGGGATTCCCAAGCCAGGAGCTCTGCATCTTTTCCGGCTGCTGTAATACAGCCGCGAGGCCCAGGGCCCGCCCGTGCTGGCACCCTGCGTGCTGCTGCGAGCACCGCAGACCCGTGGAGCTTTTGAGGAGAAAAGTCAAAGGACTCCAGTCTCCATCTGGGTCTCTTGGCCCTTTTTTCTCCTTTTTTAATTTTTGAATTTTTTTTCAGTATTTGAAGCAACCAAAAAAAAAAAAAAAGTAAAAACAGCAGTGGATGAAACACATATTACAGTGGGCTATGTCCTTTGCACTGCTGGCTGGGAACACTCTAAGGATGTATATTCCAGGAGGAAGACTCGAATGCACAGGTTGCTGTGGTATCGACCCAGATGGGGAAAGAACGAAATAGCAATTGCTCATTAAAGCCAGACCGTCAAGCATCAGGGTCTCCACGCCAACTGGTCAGTGGGAATCCTGCTCAGTGAGGAGTGTGTGTGGAAGCTATTTTGGGAGTTGGTGCTGACAGGGGATGTGTTAGCATCAACATCAGCTAGGACAGCAGGTTCTTCTCCTGCCCTTTAGTTGAGCATTAGATAACCTCCGTGTGCAGGCACTACCTGGTAAATGCGGTGCTTCTCACCCGCCGAGCACGCGTGGAACCTTGTCAGTGGGCGTGGAGATTTGTGCCTGCGCCCGTTACCGTTCTCTGCACCTGCACACAGTGCATAAGTGAGAACGCTCTTACACAACCTCCTGATTCCACTGCAGACTCGGAGCGTGGGTGGGGAGGCCCTGCCAGGCAACATTTCCTCGGGAAACCAGGTGATTTTCCCCCAGGTCACCCCAAGCAGAGGAGGAGGGCTTTGGCTGCCTGGCCTTCGGGCTCATCACACCCGCCTGCCTTCACTTGCCCTCTCTGCTGAGTGCCCGCTGCCCCGGGCGTCTTGGTTGTAAACTGGCAGCTAGGCTGGCTGTGGTCAGAGCCCATGGAAAGGAACTGGTAACAGGCTTACATCTTGGCCAAGCTGAAAATGTAGTCACCAGCACCACTATCTCAGCAACCTACCTAACACATTGCGGACCAGTAGTTTTATTGCTAGCTCTACCCAGTGGCCAGGTAAGTCTCTATTGAATGAGTACAAAAAACGTTTTACATAAGTGTTAAAGGCCCGCTTTAAAATTAAATATCCGTTGCATTTTGACGTTATTTATTACATGTTCTTACAAGCTAATATCTTTTTAAAGTGTGATACTTTGTAAAACACTGTGTAATATGAAGCGAGAATTCTCGCGATCCGTCCGCAATGTATTAACTCACCTTTGGCAAGGACATGTGACCCCAGAGGAGTTACAGGGACAGCTATGCTAATTTTTTTTTTTAAATCCTCACCCAATGATATTTAGTCATTGATTTTTTTTTTTTTTTGAGACAGTGGAAGGGAGGGGGAGAGACAC